CATAAAGAAACTTTCTGTTATGAATTTGTAAAGAAGATTGAGGTACTCTATTTTCTGATCTAGCAAATCTAGCATATGTGATACTAACAACCAAGTTTCCAATTGAAGAGAAATTCTGGGTTTTCGACGGACTCAGTATCTTACTGTGAAAGCACGAAATGTTGAGGGAAGACCAACAAATTGGATTGGCAGAAAAACAGACATGAATGTGGTTCGTAGCTGTGTCAGAAGTGGCTCTGTTCCTCACCGACTGGTGCACACAGGTTGACCCATTTGCGTATGAAAGGAGGAGAAAAAGATAGAAAGGAAATGTTCTGAGTTTCCTACTTATAAGTAAGTGTTAAGTGGAAGGGCCCACCTGGCCTCCTCCCAAACCTACACCAGGAGGCCAGGGTGACCCAAGACATTTACTGGTGGTTCTCCTTAATGCAGAATGCACATTGAAATTATGTCATGGCCAACTTTCAACCTTTTTTCCATTAATCTAAAGAAATAAGCCCCACGTGAAGGTTATTCCCTGCAGAAGAGTTCAGTCCTCTTTTTGTATAATTACCACTTACTGTAACATGCAGGTGTTGGGGCACAGGTGTCCCTCTGCCACCTGAGCAGACAAATCCCTCTGAGAGAGCCTTTCCACTGCTTCTGGTCCTGAGCCCTTCCAGCGGATGTACAGACCCCTCTATCCCTGTTTTTTTTTTAAACAATAAGACTATTGTCTGCCATTTTAGAAGAGGGCAGTGCCTTCCTCCCCCTTCACCATCATGAACCCCATTGCTGGCACACAGCTGTGTCCCAGTACCATGGAAATTGGCTGAGTGTTTGCAGCAGTGCCGCTCAACAGAAGGCACAGAAAACAGCTGTGTGCCATCGAATAGACAACGCTCAACAGTTAAAACACTGCTTATCAGAATGGGGACTGCTCAGGCTTGCAGACACTGATCAAGGACATCACTGGGTGAATAAGGGAAAAAATGATTTCTGAGAATAAAAGAAATTTTGGAAGCGATTCCTTTCTTTGAAGCATATCTCAAAACAGAGGTTACAAACATTGAACTGCTGGATCTCCCCAGCCATTTTTGGACTAACTGCACTCAGATCTAGAAATGACCATGTTCTTTAGCTCACTTTTATTTAATGACCAAAATCTATCAGTTTCTGGCTTTGTTCAGGCACATCAAGATTTGCTCTGTCTTGGGATTCAGTAGTGGATAACAAGTAGCAGCTTGAGGTGTCCCAGGCACATCTCAGATTTAGAGTCAGTTTTTCAGCTTGACTACATTTTTGCTAACACACGGATTTGCTGGAGGACACAGATGTCATAAGGGAAGGCAGAGGTCTGGATGCTCCAGGAGTGCTGAAGCCAAAAAGGGAAACTGCAGAGTGTCTGTGTGTGTTTCTGTGCGGTAGCTGAGCAAAGTTCATGTTTCTTTTTAAGCATCTTAATAATATCCTATCCTGGTTTAAGAGCCTGAATCCCTAAATGGATTGAGGATGTTTGCCTTCCAGGTGACCTGCATTTCACTGATGCTTTTTTTCCTGGCGGTATACTAGACAGTGTGCAAGCCTGTGCCAAGCCCATCTCTGCCTATGATGTCTGTTCACTAACACTTGCAGTGCAAGCTCATGAAAAACTGAACTATAAACCAAAGGATCCTCGTCTCATTTTGCGAAGATTCTGGCAAAGGTCCTGCCTGGGGCACAGATGGACCAGAGAAAGTACTGATTGCTGAGGACAGGCAGGTGGGCTGCAGAAGGATAGTGGGGGAAGTAATTCTCAAGGCCCAGGATCCTCAGGTGGCATAAACACAGGTTGTGTGTGTTGTCTGTTGTGAGCTACAGAGGCTTAGAAAATGTTTGGGGGTTGGAATAGAAAGGTCCCCAAGGCATGGCACTGAGCAACCAAGGAGGGATATTTTTAGTTTAGCTATGTTTTGTTATTACTGAAAATTAACAAAAAGTCTTTTTTTTTTTTTTTTTTTTAATCTCTGTTATGCCACTAACTGAAAAAGAGCCTGTAGGTGTTTTACTGTATTGCTGTGGACACTGTTTCCAAAGACACAGTGCCAGGCTGTGCACTGGGCTCACTGCTCCAAGTTAGCAGGCTCACTGAGAAGTCAAACAGAGCAGGGAGGATGCAGTAGGAAAACAAAGGTGAGTGACTCGGTAACTGCTCTAGGATCGAAGATGAGAACAATTTCCAAACACCAAACTGTGCTCGCATTTCCTTTCCTCCCAGTTGCAGCTTTTAGGCAGCAGAACGGGTTTTGTATGCAGCAACAGTGGCATCTAGCGACCACAGCTAGGTCACCGTGCATTTATGTTAACTCAGAAAGACCCGGGCAGCCCGAGATATCTGTGATATCTACAGACCTGATCCAACCTCTACTAGCTGGCAACATCGCAGCTTCACGATTGTAGCATTTTTAAAGAATTGTAGTAGCAAAATCCCCCAGGAGCCCCCTGTCACACTGAGCCCAAGGCCTGGAGGTGGGGTGGAGGAACAGTTTGCCTCTCCCACTGCAGCAGAAGCGGCTCACAGGCATGAATGGAGCAAGGGCCTTTCTGGAAGGAAAATCGGTGACTCAGCACTGGCTGGAGGGGATGGAGAACGTGTGAGCCAACATTAAGGCTTCTTCCCTCTGCCAAGCAGACAAAGGCCCGTCTGTTCCCTCTGGAGAAAGGCCTCTTCTCCCTGAGCGCTGGGGCCAGGCAGCGGGCACTGTTGTTGTAGCTGGGTGAAAAGTTTGCTAGTGCAGGGAAAACAGTGCAAAAAAATTATCCTAGAGGGTAACCTGGAGTTCAGAGGGCGTGTTGTATCAAGTAACTGGCCGGCAATGGAGAACAGCTTTACATCAGCACTCAGCATTTTCCAGAGATCATGTCGTTAGGAGAGCAAGGAAAACTGCAATTGTAAGCTCCAGTCTTGAAACAACTGAATGAGTTTCACTTCCTTTTCAGGCGCAAACAGGAAAGTGATAGAGGCGTATCTGCAGCTTTTCTTAGGAGCCTTGACTCCCATGTGAGTGGTTTTCATGGGACAACTGGAGTTCGGGCAGAAGGTGCACCTTAAAGCTCACATAGGAGTTGACAGTTACTGTTTCAGGCTTAAGCTTTCTGCTGTTTATTATTCCTTTCATTCCTGGCTTCTGTATTTGTACTGTTTCATGTGAAGGAGGAAGTTTTGCTGCTGCAGCATTGTCTGCAATCCTCACTGTGCATTCAGCTACCCAGGACAGCACAGCACTCATTCACTGCAGATTTTCTCATCAGCCCCACTATGGCCAACCATCACCACTCGACATGCTGTGCACAGCCCAGGCACTCAGATCCTTGGCCTGCAGCCACCTGCCCCAGAAGGGCAGATGGCTGCACCATGATGTGAGTTGTAGTCTGAGCACATGGGCAAGCCAGCTCTGCACCACGGAGCTGCAGTCAGCATGTCAGGCTTCACCCATGGTGAAGCATTCACTACCATCTAGCAGCAGCCCAGCACAGCCATCTGCTAGCAACATCTGTGAGCTCAGTCTCAGGGCAGTGCAATCCCAGCCGTGCTCTCCACAGAGTTGGTTCACATCCAGCTGGCTCGGGACGCAGACCAGGAGACAAGTGTGCCTGCAGAAACAGCTCAGGTATTGCCCTGGCTGGGACTCAAATGTCCACTCCCTTTTTTAGTGGCTTGCCCTACCAAGGGTGCCTCAGCGAACTCCACCAGCTGCTCCCCAGTTGTCATCTCCCCTTTGCTGGCAGGCTGGGGACAGTGGCTGGGCTACAACATGGGCTACAACATGGGTGTATCCATCAGAGCAGATCAGCTCCTGGCAGACCTCAGGTAGGCCAGAGCTCCCTGTGAGCACACTGAGGGGGAGAAGGGCACACAACTGACCTGATCTTTCCATGTGTTGCCTGTAAATTAAATGTTTAAAAAGAAACACAGGCATCTGGCTTGCCACACACCTTGTTTATGCTCTTATCCCAATTGATATGCATTACCTCCCACATCCCTGCTACTACTGTCTATCCTTTCTGCTTATTTGTGGTAAGCCAGCATGGTTCAGTATGGTTTTATCAAAGAAAGACTTGAAAAAGTTTTGTGGCTCTTGTTAAGCCTGCGGTGAGCCAGTAACTGCTGCATGCTGTGTGCAGGATTAAACACAGCAGAAGCTGCATCATGCAGACTGAAGGCATGTGGGTCAGACCACTGACCAGCCTATTAACTATTAACCCCAGGTGGCATCCAATTCTGCACCCTAAATCATGTTAAAAGTGATTGAACCCCTCATCAGGACCGAGCACGTAGACTTTAGTGCTGTAGCTTTCCTTTGCCGCATTTAAGATCACTCAAATTCCAGACAGTGCAAACCATAAGTCTTCAGGAGACGACTATCAAGAAGATCCTCTTTATCATGGCTTTTCCTACAGGGTTCTGGCTGGATTCATCCTTCCCACGCCTTCTCTAGGATGCCTATCACCAAACAAGGTGATACTGAGAGGTCTCAGAGCAGTCTCTAGGTGCTCAAGCAACCTACCATCCCTCCAGCTCCTGTTGACTGAGAACACTTGGGCTGAACATGCTCATTCATGGGGCAATTCTGCACTTCTTAAAAGCATTCGTGGACGCTGTGACAACTGCCTGCTTTGATCTTCCACCAATAAAAAAATGTGAAAAATGGGAGCAAACAAAGCAACAACAAGGACAGTGATCCGATGAATTTTTGACAATCCTCCAAAGACAGCTGCATCACAGACCTTACATGATGAAGGGAATCGTTAGAGAAAAATAACTGGAAACTTCTCTGGAGTTTCCTGGCTCTTTGGACCTCTTTTTAATGTTTCTCCTCAGTACCAAATGCTTTTGCTGTGTGCTCAGCAGACAGATTTTAGGTAGGTCAAACATCCTTTGGGGTACCAAACAACTCAGTATTGCTAATTATGGGAACCAAGAAAACTGAATGTCATTTTAGACAAAATTTCCTGCTGCAAACAGCACCCAACCAATACACACAGTTGCTTTGCCTCAATTCTAACAGTCCAAGTAAAGCTCAGGTCCCTCAAAGCACAGTCATCATTGATTAGGTCTGAATCACCAGAATTAGTATTTTATTGGTATTTCTTTCCCCAGACCATCATCTATGCAAAGCCTGCTAATTTTCCATTACTTAATCACATCTTAATGTGTCAAAAATTCATGCACATACTTGTGACATTTTAGCTTTTTTCTTTTTCATAATGACATTCCTTTTATTTTTCACTGGTTCCATACACAGCCGCATGATCTGCTAAAGCTACGAAAAAATGGGGAAAATGATTCACAGTACAATTTTGAAAAGAAGTGCATTTCTTTTAAATCAAGGCAGAAACAGTTCTCATACAGTCCATTGATTAGTGACTAAATTCTACATTATTTTAAGTTTACTTAATGCTACAAATAATCATTATCGACAATACTACTTAACCTGAAATAAGGCAGGGGCAAGATTTGATCTATAACTGTTTAAAATTCATGATGTTCGTACTTGTATACTATCCTATATGCATACACGTGTATAAAGTACAACAGTGAAATTAATTTGTCCCCACAACAATGAACAGGGTATATTGTACAGCTAAAATTGTTATCACATCCTAAAAGTCATGGGATACATTAATAAATAGACAATAATATGTTAATTTCCAAATTTAACAAAGAATGAGGATGAGGAAATAGATACAGTGGGATTGATTTGTCATTACTGCCTTTACATCAGCTTAAAGTCAGGACAGTTTAACATCATGAGGAACCTGGAAGTATTAATGTCACAAATCAGAGTCAATGCATACAGTGTGGCAGAGCTGTAATCTTTTAAGAGCAACCTGATTTGCTGGAGTTTGACTGCTTTGATTTTGCAACCCCAAAGCTGAACGATCCACATTTAGTTTCTTTGCCTACCTGCTTACATTTATATATACACATATAAATGTTGTTTGTCTCATGGTATTTATCAGCTTTGCAAAACTTTAGTGAGGGACATGTATCAAAAGTCAGGCTTCTGAGAAAACGTTCTAAGCAACTGGCAGAGACTAACTGAGAAGTAAATATACAGCTTACAACTTAGCCATTGGTGTTTCTCAACAAGCCAGAACCATGCAGGGAACTCCTGGCAGTCCAAAGGGTCCAATCCACTAACATAGTGGCTGATGTGCTGGGTTTTAATGACAAGTGGCACCCTAAGTATCTTACTATTCTATTTATAGAATTTTAACTTCTAAACTACTTTGGAACATTCATGTATTTTACCTACTGCTAAGCAGGCAAATATGATTTAATTACAAAACTGGTTGTAATCTAGGTAACAGTTTTACATCCACTAAAGCCAAGATGTGTCATAACATTCAACACAACTATACACATAGTTGTACCTTATACCTAATTTTGCAGTGCTGCAACTCCCCAGCCATTATATGCAAAAGAAAAGGAGCAAACCAGTGTTGTGGAAGGACTTATGTCTGTTATTCTCACACTCACTGATTTACATTCATATTAAAAACATTATCAGCAGAGGATTGCCATGGGAAGAGAAGCATGGCATGCAATTGGAGAACGGTTGAAGCCACATGGTTCAGTATAAACATATGTCCATGTTCAACAACAAAAGTGATACTTTTGATTGTGAGGGCTGCTTGTGCTTTTGCTAGTTGTGGCTTCTCCAGTTACTCAGCGTGACGAAGAAGTCTAACCAGGAGGCTGCATAACAGGTTTAAAAACTGCATTATGGTTTTGCTGCACCAGGCAGACAGTTTGTCCTCACAGCTTTGAAAGAAACAAGAGGCAGCCATTGAGGCCTATGGGTTAAAGGCAGCTGGTGATTTTAGTATGCTTCACGCTCCAAATCACTGTTTATTTTATCACAGAAACACTGAAATCAGCAACAGGGTGCCGAAGTGCATCTTCACTAATCTATCCCATAGCAACACGGGAGCACAATTTTCAAAGACACAAAATTATACATCTGGTAACCACTTTTGTCCTCATTAGGTGAAGATTAGAAACTCTTTGGGATACACATACACACAAACATAATAAAATAAAATTTAAAAAAGCAATACAAATTTTGTTGCTGTCAGAAATAGAAAGTGCCATGCGGTACATCATCGTTTCCTGGTCCCGTTGTTAGCACTGGCTGACTTACTGAAACTTCTGCTCATCTGGGGAAAGTGAACAGTTGGCGTTCTTTCGGTGGGGCCATACAGCCCTAAATTCCTGGCTGTAGCTGACTTTCGAAGAGGCTTAACACTGGGGAAAGGATTGAAGACTTGTGGCTTTGAATTACCAGGCTGGGAAGATTTAGCCAGGTTTCCATTGTCAGTGGATGAAGTAGACGACTCAGATAAATGTGGCTGGCAGGACTGACTGGATGTTGACTCAGCATCACTTTTGTTATCTGAGGTGAGTTCCAGCGTTTCCAGTTTTAGCTGAACCACTGTCAAGTCTGTATTGCTGCCCGTAGAGACTGCATCAGCAGACTGCTGGTCAGCTTTACGAGTAGTCCTGTCATCCAAGCTACCTCCTCCTTCTCCAATATCAGAATGTTTGGAAGTGTCCTCCTTTGCACCGGGACAATTTGTTTTACAGCTCTCACCCTGCTCATCTATAAGCCCTATGGTGTCCCCATAGCCCAGCTGGCCTTTAGCCCTAGCAATATTCTTTCGATGAACTCGTATGTGAGTGCGCCACGGAGAGTTCAGTTTTGATTTAAGATCTTCTTGGGGAGTGGGAGACATCTTCCCTGTAGCATGACTTGGAATGTGGATAACAGCATTCTTGAGAGATTTGTTACTTGATTTCAGCTTCTTTCCTAAAAGGAGGTGGTTTATCACTGGGGAATGGTTTACCTGAGAAGGGAGGAGGCTGGTAACTGGCCCTTTGTCTGAAAGAAAGTGTTTGAAAAAAGCACAGTATTGTTAAATTAATGTCAAAACAAAATGTTCCGAGGATCTATCAGCAAAGACTATTTGTTGCCTTTCTTGAGGTATTGCAAAGGTTTGTAGGACTGACTTCAAGTAAAATCACTGAATTCCTCTTACAATTTGGAGTCAAAAACAAAACTAAAAGTGCTATAATTCCATCCTCCCTCCATACTTATGGCTAAGTTCTGAGCCAGGAAAACCATGAGAATAAATCATAACAAATACAGTTTCTCCATTTGTGAAATTGTGCTGTAACTGAAACTGGCTTCTGATATCTGTACCCCCCTCCTTCATTTCTATTCCAGCTCTAAGAGGCAATTCAGTCCCTACATGAAGTCAGTCATCTAAGCCTCTCCATGATGCTTGAGTAAATACAGAATGAACCAATATATTTTTAATAGATAAAACCACACCAACTTATTATTATATCCTCTAATTCAAATCACAACAGTAAATTCAGAATTAGGTAATTAGGTGACAGTTTGATTAAACCTCAAACCCAGCCCTGCAACATGATTAGAAAAATTAGAACTGTTACTGTATTGGTTTGATTTTTTTTTTTGGCAGTCCTTGGGAATCAACATTTTACTGTTTGCACTGTTTCAGCACAGCTAATGCCTTTGTTCAAAGCAGATACATTGCCACTATTGAAAAAAATTTCCTTCAAAAAAGATGCTAACATGAATGAAAAGTAGCAGCTCCTACAAAAAAGTTTAGCCAGAGGAATAAAACTCTCTGCAGTGATCCATCTGCATGTTTCAATGCTGACTTGGAAAGATGACTTCCAACAAGGAGCTTGCATACCTACTAAAACCTCTAGTTGCTCTGTTCAGGCTAATCTCCAAATCACTGAATCCCAACTGGAGAAACAGATTCTGTAACACAGATTGCTAAATAACAAACTAATGTCCAGCCTGAATTTGAGAGGAACATCACTAGGGCTAGATAAACTGTCAGCTACAATGGCACATTTGAACCTGCCATGCCCTGATGATCTCAGGGGTGGTAGGAAGCTAGGTACCAGCTACGAATCTATCTGCTGCTTGATCCAAAGTGTACTCATCTCTTTTTATCATTTTTTTCCAGTGCATCAGTATGTCAACTCCAAGAATGCCAAAGATTTAAACTTTTGAATCAACGAGATCAGCACAGTGCACCCAGATAGCAATGATGCTTTTAAATACCATTGTTCAGCTGGTCCCTGGGACCTAAAAACATCCCAGGGTCATCATCTTCAGATCCTGACAAAAGAAAAAACATCATTACCTTTTCATTTACATTTTGTGTATATTAAGTTGTAACCACTCTGCTACTAACATCACAAGTCACTCTTTCATTTTCCCTATTTGGCTAAAAGTAAAAGAGCACTATTGGTCTTGCTTCCTATTATGAGATTGGCTTGTAATAAATCAGTAACTAAGTATGTTTTGATGTATTACCTGCTCTGATGTACACATGGTGAACCTGCTGTTGCTGCTTCTTCTTTATCCTGGAATACTGCTTTTTCAGTGCATTGATATCAGTGGTCATACGTTCCATCATCATGCTGTTAAAAGCAGCGTGATACTCGCTTCGGCAAGACTCTATTGCTCCAGGACTAAGTTCTGCAATGTTACTGGAGCCCAGACTTTGTTCTTCATTCTGATCTGCATGGAGTGGGAATAAAGCGGAGACAAGGAGTTAATTGGCATATTTAAGAGTTCTGCAGATTATCAGCAAGGCAAGTCTATGGCTGATTCCTGTTCTCTTATTTAACTGTAGTCTTTAATCAAAGTTGTTACAATGCACATGTTTAATAAAGCTACAGTATTTTTAATAAATACATATTTCTAGAGCTACTTCTTAAGAATAGTAAGGATTTGGTGGGAGGCAGGGGGAGGAGTGCATGTTTTAAAAATACAACATCAATTAACAAAGCAGTGGAAAGTTATGATCACGGCTTTTCAATAACCCTGAAGTACACCAAGCCATTTCTAAAGTAATATTAAAAAAAAAGTATTCTTAAAAATACTCAGCTGGTCAAAGATAAGGCTAAAATTGCAAGTCATAAAATGTGTTATAGTTGAAGAGGCATGAGGTTAAACAAATGGCCTAAATGATACTAGCAAGAAGCATCAAGAAACGGTTATAGCACCCCAGGGAATAAGCTGTCAGTAGCAAGCAGAGCAGCTGAGGAGTTGGGCAACTTCAGAGCTTCTCTGATATGCAACCACAGAGCAAAAGAAGCAGTGCAATTTATTTTCACAGCTGTTTCTGATGCACCACCAAACTGGAACTCCGGGGTCAAGGGGATAATCCTTTTTCAAGGGATGTTTGTTTGTCTTTGGTTTAGTTTGCAATAGCAGTTTGATGTTCTGACTAAGTGCTAGCTTGAAGCAGCAGGTGGAGACTTATGCACCTTCAAGAAGGAAAAAAAAAAAAAAGACACCACAAAAATCAACAGTGAAAATTTCAGCATAAAGGCCTCAGTAAAACCAATCTACAAGAACAATGATGGGTAATCATATAACTGTGTCTGCTACAGTCTGTTTCCCTCTTTACTCATCCACATTTTATTCTTTTAAACTGTAGCACCTCCCAGGTATCATAACGTCACCATCAAACACCATTTCATAAAGGCTGCTGCAAGTTAAGAAATATTATGTTCTTCTCATCGTGTTCTTCTCTTGTATCAGAATTTTGTTCTGCTTTGAGCGTTTGCACATCTGAACATTTAATTCTGTCAAAAAAATTATTTCAGTTGAAGGATTTGAAAAAAATAGTAGCATTTTATCAGAACACCCTAAACCATAGCCAATCTTTTTTTAAAGTGAATATACCCAAAATAAACCCAAGAATATACCAGGCAACAAGCTGGCTGGCTGAGCTCATGACAGCTTTAATCTAGAGCTGCTGGGAGAAGGAAGTACTGCTGAGTGACAGAGAAGAGCCAGTGAGCACTGCCACTTTAGGAAGCAGTCAGATTTGTCCAGTAGGTTTGCGGAAGGGCTCCTTTAGAAAGGAAATGCATCCAAAAGCCCAGCTGAAATGCCTCTATACCAACACACGCAGAGTAAGAAATAAGCAGGAGGAGCTGGAAACCATGATGCATTTGGAAAATTATGATTTTATTGCTGTCACAGAAACACGATGAGATGATTCACATAACTGGAATACCACCGTTGACGGCTATAAGCTTTTTAGAAGGGATAGACAAGGTAGGAGGAGTGGGGGAGTTATTCTCTGCGTTAAAAAAAGTGGATAGAATGCTCCCTCAGAGAAACAGTCAGGAACAGGTTAAGAGCCTGTGGGATAAGACTAAAGACAGAACCAATAAAGGACAGCTGGTCGCTGGGTCTACTAAAGGCCATCTGATCAAGGGCAGTCTGTTGATGAGGCCTTCCTGCTTCAGCTACAAGAAGCGTTGCGCTCACTGGCTCCCATTCTGATGGGAGATTTCAACCACCCACATATCTGCTGGGAACACAACATGGCAAGCTGCAAGCAATCCAGGAGACTCCTAGAGTCCACCAACAATAATTTTCTGGTTCAGGTACTGGACATACCAACAAGAGGTGAAGCATCACTGGAGCCGGTGCTCACTAATGTAGAGCATCCCACTATTTAAAAGGAGATTATAAGCAGGAGGGAAATCAACCTTTCCCACAAGTAGACTGTGATATGACAAGGAAGAATAGTTTCAAACAAAAGAAGGAAAGATTTAGATTAGATGTCAGGGAGAGAAGTGCTGGAGCAGGCTGCCCAGAGAGGTTGTAGGTGCCCCATCGCTGGATGTGCTCAAGGCCAGGTTGGATACAGCCCTGGGCAACCTGGTCTAGTACATGATCTAGTGGTTAAAAACACTGCCTGCAGTATGTGGGTTGGAAGTTGATGATCCTTGAGGTCCCTTCCAACCCAAGCCCTTCTATCATTCTATACTATGATAGTATAGAATAGTTCCAACCCAAGCCATTCTATCCATCTAAAGGTTTGACCAATAGAGCGGTGAAATTACCTGCAGAATTGAATCTTCACTGACATGTTCCAGTATTATATACACATATGCTAATGAAGGTCAAGATTATTTATTAAATGCATACTCTTCAGAAGATGCTGATTACCAAATAGCTCTCTTCAAATTTAGCAGGGATATAGGCTAGACTTCTTTTTCATACGCTTGCTTCTTTTTTTTTGTTGGGAGGGCAGCACTTCACTGTTGTTTTTTAAACATTACTGTAGCCAAATCCTTACCCCATAGGATTATTTATTGTATATATGCAGCCTTTGAAATTGACTTTCAATGCATCTTCATGGACTTCAGAGGAAATAATTTGTTATCTGCTGTAATTCCTATGTGAATTAAAAATACCATTTTCACAGCAGCTTTCACAGTTGAATAAACAAGTCATTTCTGCAGGGTCATGCAGATTTAACTCCATTTTTCAAAATTAATTAGAATGTTTTTACCTTTCATCTGTTTCTGGTACTTTTGGAGCTCTGGTGCCAAAAAGCCACTTAATGGTCCAAGACAGCCAATTGCATTGGCAATGGAGTCTTCATCATCTAGATCATTCTCTTCATCGCTGTCTCTGGTTCTGCCTAGCCTTCTGAAAAAAGAGAATATAAGGGAAAAAGGAAAGAGACATTCTTAAACACGATTACTACTAAACATCTTTATTTTCTTTAGGTGCATATAAGGGAAGATGTCATTTCAAAATCTGACAATGATCCACTGTAGGAAGTGCATTTCAAACTTACCCTGAAAGTGAAGTTGACTTTACTGTCGCAGGGAAAGGAGTAATGTTGTAAGTGTACTTCTCCCTTAATTCTGCCAGTTGTGGGAAGGGAAACTGAGCCATGGTATAAACAGTCTAAGGGGAAAGAATATGCAGCTTTTACAGTCATCCCTTTAATCAACAGTCCTACAAAAGATTTGTCTACGAACAGACTTTCATAGACATGCAGAATTAAACGCCGTGCCATGAAAAAATGCAAATAGTCTACTTTTATGATTTAGTCGATATTTCCTGTAAGAAAAATCAGACTCACTAGAAAAGCACACAGCTTAGAGTTTTAAAACCATTTAAGATAATATTAGATATACGGACCTCTTAAAAATTTGTTGTACGAATTTAGTATTATTATCAGTCCTCTCCTTGGCAGCACACCTGCATCACTGAGGCATCAGGCATCTTCCAGAAGAAATATGCTTAACTTGTGATAGAACTAGAGGGAATGGCTTCAAGCTGCGCCAGGGCAGATTTAGGCTGGACGTTAGGAAATACTACTTTTCTGAAAGAGTGGTCAGGCACTGGAATGGGCCGCCCAGGGAGGTGGTGGAGTCACCAACCCCAGAGGTGTTCAAGGAACTTTTGGATTTTGTGTTTAGGGATATGGTTTAGTGAGTACTATTGGTGATAGATGGATGGTTGGACTGGATGATCTTGAAGGTCTTTCCCAACCTTGGTGATTCTGTGATTAAGTATTCAACAAGGTATTGACACTGTTGCAGATAGGGATGAGCAACCCCCGCCTAATGGAGAGTGTTAACAGATCCCTTACATCACCTGAGTTATAGACTAAAAGGAAGGACCCAATATTGTCCAGCTAACATTAAAAAAAAAAAAAAGAGATCTGTCCTGTCATTAAAAAAAAGTCCCACCACAGCTCTCTGTATGCAAAATCACAATGTGTAACCATTAAAACAAGACCACAAAAAGCTTACTACATTTTATTTACTTCAATACTCAGAGTTAAAGACGATCAATGGCTGCAAATGAACTTGCCTTCAGCATTAATTTTGCTTTAGGCCATTTTGTAATAAGACAATGTGTGTCAACAACCAACCTGGCATGAAGACAGATCATACTCATTGCAGCATCACTGCTGATTGGATCCCATCTAATTTAGTAGCCCTTTCCCCTTACTTTTGCATTAAAAAAAAAACAAAACAAAACAAAACCCTGAAACATCATTTCTCAGAGTTTCTTTGAAAAAAGTAAGTTTTTTTCATAAGTTAATGTCTACTGACAGAGAGCAACATAAAAATTTCTCCTTATCCATGGCAAGAAATCTTCCCTTTTCTTCCTCCTGTGCTAGTAAGTCACTGACATTTTCATTTAAAGGCAAATGGCCTCAATTAAGATGAACGGAAATTGTGAACAATTTGTGAACAATTTCTATTTAATTGATTCACAAACAGTGCTTTGTCTGTGCTAAATGCATTTAAAAAACTGCAAAATGAATTCTGAACCTTTCCTGATAAAAAGGGGGAAAAAAAAATCTCCAGTGGCAATGATTTTAGCAAAGAGAAGCAGGAAGGGTAATCCTGGCTAGATCAGACACAGGCCAGCAGTACAGTTCAACAGGCTTCTGCATGTAAGAACTCCCTATTTTGAGCCCTGCAAAGATTCTTAGGCAAGGAGAATGCCTTCAGAAACCCAGAGCATGAACTGAACTCTGTGAAACTGAAACTCTACTGTGAAAGACAAATATCCTCCAGAGCCCGAACAGTGATATGCTGGCAGCCTACCAGATGGGGGAATTTTATGATCTGGAGAAAGACCTACCTCCGGCCCAACATGTCTGCCTGTTTGTTTGATCTCCATCACACTTCACTGTGTTTTTTCCCATATGTCTCAACTCTCTCCCTTCATAGAGAAGGAGGTGCGTCTGGAATTTATTTCTACCCTTTATGTCAACAGCCCTTTCAGGTAACTTCTTCCATATGCTATTTACCCTTTATGTGAACAGTCATCCTGAACTCTCCATTTACTCCTCACACCTACTGTTTTCGATTATGTTTCCAGCTTTTCCATGTCTCCAACGTGTCTTTTCCAGGTCCTGTGCAATTTCTCTCTTTTGCACACATTTTTTGCTTAATTACTTGCTGTCAGATTCTAACTAGGAGCTTCACTTGCTACCTGACTAAGAGATCCACAAACAGATTTTATACTGGTGCACATTCAAAAATTTTTGTCAGTCAGCACTTGTGATCTCACAGCAATGCCTCAACAAATCTTGTTTCTAGTTTGCACACAGATTTGGATGCTATGTAATTAATTCTGGTGAAACTGGGCCAGTGGGAAATGGCCTACAATACAAAGCATTATGAGTTTGGCTGCACCATCTTATTTATGGCAACGAGGGACAGATTCTGGGAAAGCTTAAAGAGGTGAGAAAAACACCCTCCCTTCTCTTCTCAAACCTCACACCTTACTCTAAAACTGCAGTCAGCTGTGCTCTCAGCAGAATGCCATACAAAAGGTGACAGGCCTGTGGCTTCCAGAGGAAGGAAGAAGTTCTGCTTTTGCAAGATAGCTCACAAAGTCTTGATTCAAGAGCTGCTCCACAATGATTTAAGGTTTCTCTTTCTACTAGGAAAACAAAACAAAAAGCAAAAACAAACTCAAAAACAGGCTAAGCACTACTCCAGCAAAAAGTTACCAGTGAATTATCATCAAGTGCAGGTAACTGCAGGAGACAGAACAAAACACTGGGCTAACAGAGAAGGATTAACCCATTATTCCCCTCCACCACAGTAAACACACATGTATACCTCTCTTTTTTCTGTTTTTTTCTCATCTCTAAACTGGAATGTTTCTAAGCCTACAAACTGAACTAATTTAGCTGCTTGTAAAAACACTCATTTTATGGGAAGGCATGAAACCCTCTACCCAAATAAGCACACGTTGTTTAAAGAATCTGCAGACAACTGGCATCCAGTCTTTTGTCTCCATGCAAGAACTAAAGTTTATCAATAGGCCAATAAAATGACATTACTGAATACTGTATTTGTTTAACTGCTAGTCCTAAATACACATGCAGCCTAGCATCTGGAGTGTGCAGCACTTACCCTTAATTCACTTAAACTGCTCAGTCTGAAAAAGGAGGAAGCTGTTGACTTCCTTGTTCCTCCAATCCCTCCAAGCTCTCCTCAGCTTGAAGGAGAAGAGCTAGAACTCTTTCTATGTAAGGGCCAAATATGCAAAAGCTTATCTAATTTAAATACCTGCCCTATCAATTCTTGCTCCTGAAGCATCAGCCATACCTTCCTCTTCTAGCTCCAAAAGGCAATAGGTCAATAGAGCAGGACTTGTTTCCTAGTGGTCTAGAAGTGCCAACTATTCTTCAGAGGCTTAAGTGAGCCTGGACAAGTAGTTAAAATACAAGTGAAAGTATCATGTAAGTTTAAAGAAAAGGGAGATGATCACCACCAGCAACCTCTACTGAAATGCATAGAAAAGACAGGGTAGAATATTAATCTTTTCCCATGGCAGGATATTAATCCCTCAGCCACCTTGTAAAAAGTATCACATGTAAGTAAAACCATCACTCTGATTCTGATTAGGAAAAAAAATAACATTTTGAAAACAAAGCAGCCTAAATGCTCATCTTTGGCTTACTTGTCTAGAAAATCTTAAAGCAATTTATAAAAGTAATGTTTTCAAGCAGCTTATCTCCTTTCATTAACGAACTGGTTCATATTTCTCTATTTTCTTCTCCAAAGCAGAAAAAAAAAAAAAACCAAAAAAAACCTGTCCAAATACAGCAGCCAGGCACATGGTGGGACTCATATCCCCTAACTGCAAATACTTGCACTGCCTACTTTTCTCCTCTAAAGGTAAAGAGAACCTGGAGTGAATTTCTCTGACGAAAAGATCTACACTGTCAAGTGCCTGCCTTTGACTCTGTGAATGCTATCTGAACTGTAGTATGGATTCTTCTACTCAGAGGACATACACAAAACAGGCACACTGCCCTCCTCACATCTTCATTATCTGTACTACCCTATAAGGAACCATAACACCTATTTTAAAACCATACAAGTACTTCTGACTTGTTGCACTTCCACTTTTGAAGCAGAACAAAGCCACAGTAGTTACCTTTCCCACTCCTAGAGCTCCCTCATCAGACAAAACAACTAAAAGTCTGAAAGTTCAGAACAGTACTTTACCAGACTATGGAAGTGTGTAATCCCAATCAAAAAATTTTGCTTGCAGAAATATTATCATGTATATGCAAGCTCAAATCAATAATATTTTTATCTGTAATACTCAAGTCCCTTTCCTTTCCCAGAAGGATGCAGATATTTGTTCTTATCCAGTGACATAAGTGTAAGAATTCAGTGAGCGTAGTTATCTACAAATGTCTTTGTTTATAGTTCATTGACTGCCCTTCAAGGCAATTTTTTTTTAAATCATGAAGGACTCTTTTTCCCCTTCTCACTTGATAAAAGCTTGTCTCCCACTGCGTCTGCAGAATGAAAAGGACTCATTGTAATAAATAACAAGACAAAACAAAAATGAAACAAAAGAACATCCTAAAAATTATGACTACAAAGCAATTCTACATCTTGCTTGCGTAAATTCAATTGCACACTGTATCACACCAAACTTTCCACTCTCAACATATACATACTCTTTATCAAGTGTAGTCTAGTGCTTTTCTGTTTTTAACGTGTAAGATTTTCAGCTTTAACTGCAGGTCATCTGCATTTATCCTACATTTTTATTCTTGAGAGAGTTTATGTTCCTGCAGTATCTGAATAGAAAACGTAATTCTTTAGAAATCAGCACCTGAAGGATGAATGGAGAATGCAGAACATTAAAACACAATTACTCACCTGCATGAGTTCGTTGCTGTCAATCAGACTGTCTTCCAGCATCTCCTGGGTTAGCTTGCCCATGGTACTGTAAAACTCATCTGCAGTTTCACAACACTCTATTTGCCTATGTCAGAATAAATGTTGTTTTATCTCATTTTATGATTACATATAATTATTTGTCTCCAAACTAAAACTAAACTTTCTGTAAACATAAAACATGCACTTCCATTAGTTACATTAATTCTTACATTTATTGCAGTCCCCCCTACACTTCCAAATAATAAAACTGCACATCACTGTATGATGTCTGCCTAAGCTGTACACAGTCATGCATATACAGACAGGTTATTCACTCTGCTTCTTTCAGTTATAAAACTTGAAAAATAATAAATCCAGAGCCCTTATCCATCAGATCAAAAATAAGAGTGCCTCTTGCTAAATTAATCTTGTAAAGTTCTGCTTGCTTGCATGAAAACAAGACTGGCGTGATTATCTCATCCATATACGCCTACATGTCGGTCAGTTTAAGTGACTGTATTACAAAGCCATTATATAATAGTTTGATTAAGGTTAGGGTGGCCTGATCCAGTTAGAAAAGCTTTTAAACTTTCAAGGCCTCCTCTTCAGACTTATAAGAATTAAAAATTAATCTTGTTCTCACCAGTTTTTCTAAGAACCCGTCTGACCTCCAAACAGCACACCCAGTAAAGACAGAGACAGGGACTCAAAACAGAATAATGAACCACAGATTAGATAGATAAACCTAATCGCTCCTTTGCCCTTGCAACTATTTCCATTCAAAGATATCAATGTTTTGCAAAAATAAGTTTAACTTCACATGGCCTTCAAGGGGAAAATAAATACTATCTTTATCATGTAAATGAGAAGCCTATAGGTTGGACAGACTCATGAAATTCTGCAAAATCTGGAAGAAAATAAAAGTAATCCATATTTTCTTAGTGTTATTTGAGTGTCTAAGAGCTAAACACAAGTTAATATTTTCTTCCTAAAAATATCCTGGAAGGAAAGAAATCATCAGTCATTTGCTACACCAAATCATTAGCTCTGATAGCGTTAGAAACAGAATGGCTCTTTAGTTGGAAAAAAAATCATAGTTAAAAATCACTTTCGCTAAGATCATTATTTCAAGAAAATATATTGAATATGCTATTTATTTATCCAAGCTTACATCATGAATTTGAAAAAAGATTTTAAAATATAGGCTGGAAAATTAAACTGTGTTTCTTCTCTGGATTTCACCAGAACAGAGAGAACTAACTGCTTCATCTAAAACTACTCTTTGATGTTTAAAAGACCTGTGATTCTTTCCATGTAGTTGTAATGCAGAAAAACAATTTCACAACAACAACAAAATCCAAAAATGTGTAAAGGTAGACAAGGATATATCCTTTTTTTAATGGCCTTCTCCATACTGCATTTCAAAGTTTGGGATTTTACGTGATCATGTCACCAATTTAAATCTGCTGAAATGGAAGTGTCTGAAAATACTGATGAAAAAACCAGACAGAAAGCTTCCAGCATTAGACATTTCTAGTCACCTACTGGCATTTTTCCTATGGCTCTTAGTAGATTGGGAAAAGCGGGCCTCATGATCCCGTCTCCTAACTCTGGAAAGATGGAGGGTTATAATTTTTTTGTTGAATCACTGCTTGTGGCAGAGCAGGATTTTTCTGTTGTACCTAGACCCCAAATGGACAAAAATGAGGAAATCTCCATCTGGATAATGTGACTATTGAGCATTTGCCAATTTATCTCTCATTTCAGGTGATGGACACTCTCCTGAGTCAGCCACTGCAACAGCTGAGTTTTCTCAGAATACCTTCTCCTTTGATAGGCATTAATTCATTTGATCTTTCACAATAGTAAAGCTTTCTTCTTCCCATTTGCTCAACAAGCAGCTCCAGGTCATTTCTGTTTATTTACACAGTCACGGTACAAGTTTCTGGTTTGATTACAAGAAGCTTTATTATTTTCACCCTACTTTTTATTTCGTATCAATTATGAGAGCTATCCTAAAGGCACTACATACTTGTTTTTACAAATCATATGTATTATCTGTTACTTGGAACACTCAAAGAACTGAACATACTGTTGCCTCCCATGTAGACTTCAGCTGCTGGGATAATGCAAAACAAAAAGTACAGTCCTTTTTTCATAAGGACTAGAAGAAGCAGCTTCCCTTGATCTATCTTAGGGGGGTGTGGGGGAGGTCTACGTTAGGGAACAATCACTGAACAGTTTAGCTGCTACCAAAGTCTTGATTTATATTAGCTGAACGACTAAGTAGTGAAAAATGATAGGAATAACGGGTACATAGGCAATTACCACAAATTTACTGCTTGTCTTTACTAACAATTTCAATCTCTTGTGGCTTCCACATACCTTCTTTGCTGCCCTTATTTTTAAATTGCCTATTCCTCAAGTCTCTTTTCATCAAAACAGAAGTGTGGCTAAACCTTTTAAGAGAAGTACTTCTCACCCCATTTTCATGTCTAGAAAAATAGTTGTGAAAAGTATGAAGACTATGAGACTATAACTATTGTCACTGATCCCACTTTTTCAATTCCCCATTCTACTTTCAGCAAAGAAGAACAATATCATGTTCCTGTCCCAGCAAAAATACAGTGCCCCATCTTTACCTGCTCATCTTATTTGCTATGATTAATCACAAACTTACTGAATGTCAGGGCTGTTCAGCTTCTGTGACCCACCTTCTTCTGTATCTCTCATTATCACTCCACTACTCTTTTTCTGTTGAGTGCCCAAAAACTCTCCTGGGACCACACTCCTATTTCCCACATACAATAGTTTATGGTATAAAATACGATTAGCTTATTCTTTTGGCCACATTCTTATAGGTGGTTTCCTGTTCTTTCCATTTTTTATAAAGTGTGTTTAATTTTTTCTTTGATTACATTTTATGCTAAAAATCTTCAAAGCAATGACTTCCTTTTATTTTTTTATCATGTTATGAGTTGGAACATTTGTAGCTACAGCTGGTAAGTACATAGAGAACCAACCCACCTTTTATCTAAAGGTTTGGTACTAAGTAATAAAGGACAGTGGGACTACATACAGCTTAATCCTAATGCAAATTATTCGTAAATGTCTCTTTCATGAACAGATCAAAAGAAATGTCTTGGGTAATTATTATGCTAATTACACTTTCGGTTAAAGATGAGCTGTATTAAACATTCTCCTGCAGTGCTAGTAGCCTACAGTGTTAATATATTCCGAAAGAAGAAAATACAAATCAAACATCCAAGTACAGAGATGAACATAAACCTCAGAGGTTCAGTCTGAAGGGAAAAAATAAAAATAAAATAAAAATAAAAATAAAGTAGTTAATCATTGATAAACATCACAAGAAAAAATGATGCAATTGATGAAGAAGTTTTCAGTCGAACTTGTCCTGTAAGAGTTCACACCTCCTGCTGAAGTTGGTGACAGAATTCTCATCTCTCCAGGAGCAGTGTACACACTTTGGAATGCAAACCTTTGTCATAACAACAGACTCTGTTTAGAACTAATCTTTTGTATTTCATCTTATGTAATGGATTAATAGTGTTAGAAATGAACAAATATAACAGTTAATAATAATAGAAATATAAATTAACAATAATGGCAATTTTGCTAGAGCGTACTTAAAAGCAGAGAATCTCGAGAAAATGACTTTGCAGGCATTAACAGAGAAGAACCACGTTACACAAAATGATTCTCTTAGTAACCCTCAGCTGTTTTCTTACACATAGCCAATGGGCTTAAGTGAAAAAAAATGAAGAGTAACATCTCCAGCTTCAGACAAAGTAGAACTGAATCAGCTAGTCATCCTCAAATTGCTCTGTACTTTTTTTTCCCAGAATGTTTACTAACTCACTCTGATGTCTATGCTCTGGAAAGTCCAACTAATATTTCAACATAAAGACATTATATGTACACAATACAAACAGCAGGCGACATTCGCTGCAAGAAGGCTCAGCTCATTATTGTGCCCTTCTTTTGACATCATGACAATATTCTCTAGTATACAGTTTCTTGGAAAAGCCAGAGAGGAACATTGCTTCTGCTTTGAAGAAGATGTACATTCTCCTGGAAGACTGAGAACATGCTCTTCAGAGCAACATATAAATTATTTACATTGATCAAAGCAAAAGAAAAATCAGACTAAGATGACCACTTACTCTCCTAGCTTTGCCCAGATTGCCAGAGCTACTCTCAGTATAATTTCAGAGCCTTCAAAGAATACTGAATCCCAGATCTTCAGAACTGTATGGTTAGGCAGGCAAGTGGCAAAGAGGGTCAGAAACCACTGCATGGTGAAGACATTTGTAAGAGGGGGTTCATAGCCTCCTGAAATATAAAAATATAAATGCTTTAAGTCCTTTGTAATTACTATTGTTTTACATGATGTATGAATTGCATACTGAAATTCACCTGTCATTTTAGTAACTCCTGTTACTGGGCAAAAGTTTCTTAGCATGGAGCTAAAGAGAAGCTGAGAAAATGAAAAATGAAAAAAAAATGACATATATAGTCACCATTCCTTCTGCTGTATTGCCAAAAGCTCTAAGCATCACCACCCGCTTTGAAAAACACCACTAAACATCTTTTCTTAACATCAGAAAGATTGCCTTTCCTTCTCTATAGCTACATAAGCTAAAAGCCTTCTATTAAAAAAAGTGCAGTTGTATTTCTGCAGAAACTAATGACATAAGCAGTCTTCAGTCCTGATGCACTGACGGCTTAGAAGAAGAAACTGTTAACACATGCAGTTTTCCTTTTGGCTTGTTAACAGCTTCCTACAGGATTTAGTAGCCTGACAAAGCTGTAGGTTTATTTTCTTGTTATTCTCAGAGAACAATTTGTGCATCCTTGTACCAGCTGAATTCCATGACCCACAGAGGCTGCTGTATGAAAAAACTTTCAAGCAGCAAATGCTTACTTGATACACTTTCTTAGTTTTCATATAGTCTGCGCTATCATGAGTTTATCTATATGTAGCATGGCTGTACATTTTAGAAAAGATGAAACCTGGGTGCACTTAGCTTCCAGAAGGGGGATAGGAGTGAGGAGGAAACTCTCATGAATGAAACAGCTGTATTTTGATTTAAAAAAAAAAAAGTTGCCTGGAGGAAATGCTATACAACAAAAATTCACAGTGCAAAGCCAGTTTTCAGATAGCAATTCAGGAAGTAGCTCAGTTTTGTATCTGCATATTGCTAAGCATCCAGGTGAAGGCATATTAACCGGTTGCCATTTACTCTTGCATTACAACTCTTCTCAGAACAGCTTTGTAACTTCTAGCAACTAAAAGCAGCAAGCAGTTAGACACATACTGAGTTAAGGAAAGAAACACTTTTTCCATGTATTTTTCATACTAAGCTGTACATTCCAGGGGTGGCACTCCATACATTCTACGCCCCTGACAACATGTTTATGCTGTGTTTGCAGTTAACTGTGGGACCAAATGATTTCTCTCGTCTTTCCTGAAAGGACAACATATTTTAAGCATATCAATAATGGAAAGGATCACCCTTCACTTCTAACAATGCAAAATGTATATTTTCTGAGCAATATATTCATGAAAACATTCCAAAGGCTATTTTCAGACCTGTGCTCAAATGAAACAATAAAAAGGAAATTAGTAGCATTTTCCATTGAACCTACCTCCACTTTCTCTGTTAGCAGCTCTTTGCAGGGTGTCTAAGTGTTGGGACAGTTCAGGAAGGTTCATTCGTAAAAGATCTCGGAAAACAGCCATATCCACAGAGAGAGCACGGAGATTATTGACAAAATAACTATCAGGAAGCACCTTATCAATTAGATAAATCATGATCTGTAAGAAGATAAATATAATCACGTAGGACTTACTCCTAGAAAATAAGTCTCAATAACAGAAAAGAGATATAAAATTCTAAATTCTGTTCACAAAACTACAGGTTAGAGCAAGCCTCTGGCATCTCCATTAAAATGGGGAGTAAACATCATTTTAAGCATTCACAGGTACTCTAAGTTGCCATCAGCAGTCCAGATGCAAAGGCTAAGACAGCCTCTTGGAGCTGCTCAGATTTTATGAACCATTAATGACTGAAATCAATTTCATGGTAAGCTATGCCCAAATTGGAAGCATCACTCAAATCAAAGGCAACTTTTTGCACTTTTGATGCTAGAGGTGTTTATGAGATTTTCCAAATTGCTGAAAAGTTCCATTATCCCTTTTCTGGTTGTTAACTGCCACAACTAGAATACTCATCTTCTAAAGAATCTTCTTTTGCTTCTCCAGAATGCAAGATAATGTTCTTTTAAAACATTCCTCACACATCTCACTGTGATGTGTTAGTGCATGCTGCACTTCATCTTGTCATTTTAAGAGGTGCTAAAGCAAGCAGCACAAGACAGTTTAAAGAGACATATGTTTCAAGTAAGATAGTTCAATGACATGGGTAAAAATGCATTAACTGGATGCTGTCGAGCTTCTGAGAACAAACAAATGGAACAAATAAATATAAATCACCTTCTGTACATCAGCAGCCCAACAGGAGACTCTGAACTTCAGGATCTCAGACTATTTCAATGCCTGCTTTACCAACTGCATCAAGAGAGTCTGCATGTGGTCACACCCTATGCTTCAACTCTCCACTACTCCCAACCTCCTCCAGAGCCACTCTTTCTCTCTCATATCTTCTTGCAAACAGGTATCTTTCCTCTTCAGCTTATCCTACAATCTAAAATGACAAAAGCTGCACCTTTCACGCCAAATCCCTTCTCTTTCTTGGGAAATTCCAGTCTTACAAAGCACACATACTGAACATGGAGAAGAAATAACTTTGTTTTCCATTCTTATTTTTGCCAGATAAGACTCATTTTGCAGTGCTAACACACCTCAGTGATTTACCTCTTCAGGGCCCTCTAGTGTCATTCCATTACTTCTTCAGCAAAAGGAGCCTGACAGGGCTCATGGCAAGAGATGACACAAAAATAACAGAGTTCCAAATAATCAATTTGAAAATCATAAAAATAGGGCTATCATGTTTCCTATACCATCATAATGTGTCTTTGGAACTTCTGGACTGTATAAGATAAATGGAAAACAATAGTTGAAAGTACTGAATAAATTTTTAGCACAAATTATTCAGAGGAAATTTTACTCTGACAAAGTAAATACAGTTATTTTCTTACTATTATAAGTAGCTCTCTAGATTGGTCTAGAATGGAGTAGAAAAGGTCTAATAAATAAAACACTATCTGGGCTATTTATTTTCATTTTCCATATTTATTTTGTGTGTTTCTACAATTAGCTTTAAAATGCAGCATATTTCTTAACTGCTATGTACAAGGTTGATAACAGAAACTGGAAGTTTCAGCTAAACATGGGGTTTGTGTAAAGTCAGTAGTAATGTCATCTTTTATTTATTTATGGTCAAGCTCTCATTTGTTTTCTTAATATAGTTTGTTTTTTTAAAAACAGTCATAACATTCAAACTGTCCACCTTTAGCTCAGACGAGATAATAAACAATCCACAGATAAAAATCAATCCACTTTAAGTCTTGCTCTTTTTGGCTGTCTATTAAGTTCATGCATTCATTTATTCTTAAGTTCGCTAAGTAAAAGCAATCCTCAACATTGCAACAAAAGATTCTACTCACTTTCAACGCATCTCCCTCATTGCCTTCCATCACTTCCAGAATGAGTGCAGCTAGTATGTTAAAGCCCTGACAATAGCCAACAGATTTATTCCACCTAGCGTAAGCCAGCAAAACTCGTTTTAATACCACTCGATCTTGCTCCGCCTCCTGGCCACAGTAAGAACTGCAACCGGTTCGGTGAAGGTCCTTTAAAGGATAAAAAGATAAAGAAGAACAGGACAAAAAAAAAAAAAAAAAGTTTATTTCCCTCCTCCCGTTAGTTTTCCTGCCTGCCCCAGTTTTCCCTTCACGTCCACCCTCCAAACACATGCTCCTGAAGTTGATGAGCTTGTTTCTTTTTCAATCTGTAAACCTTTAGCTTGCTCAACCTATTTCTCTTCAGTAGGGTCCCAAGTAAGTAAGTTATCTAGAAAATGCTCACAGGAAGTTGCCACAGAAAATATCAGAAGATATCTATGTTTCAAAGAGGCAAAGTATATCAGTTCTGTAATTCCTTTTTAAATCTTCCTCCACAGAACAGTGTTTTCTCTTGATTTTAAGGATTTTCAAAGACGTCAGAAAAATGTTTTCTGTGCATATTAAACAACGGCACATGGGAAAAGTTTTTTGGTTGGTTTTTTTTTTCTATCTCAAAATTCCTTTCATTGCGTGGGGCAACAACTACAATGTGAATTGGCTGAGCAGAATATCATGATTTGTTAATATTGCAGAATACAGACCAAAGGATTAGAGTAGATGCTTGTGTGCAACTGACGCTAGCAGCAGCAATTTCAAGGTTTGAAGCTACATGCAAAATTTCTAGCAAGCATCTGCCTTCCACTTTGAGACATTTGTTCTAGAAACCATTCAAATTTTTTACTGAGATGAGCCTGACACTACCATTAAATTTGTGAAGTAGTAATTTGTGCTAGGAAATGACAAAATCCAATTTTTAAAATGACCAAACAAAACAAGAGGAACTGCTTTTCTTTAAATCAAAATACAAAATAAATTGCAGCCGACTAAGATTTCAAGACAAAAACAAAGAAGGAGAAGTGTCCTTGAGAATTTAATTTAAATTATTTGTGAAAGGCAAAATACACTACAATTTTTTGTGTTTCATGAGTAAGATCTAAAGCCTTATATTACCAAGTACAGATGACAATAATAACCAGGAACAGAAGGTACTTTGTTCCATGTCCTTTAATTAAGATGATTATAGAAAATAAAGAATATCTCCTAGGTAAACAGACCAACATCTACATCACCACAGAAATATAAATCAGTTAAGCTCTCCCTCAAAAATGCCCTTTGTTTTATGTATAAATTAACAACCAGCTGAGAAATGTACATAGAAAGATGCTCAATTGCTTTACTAGAAAACATAAGTACTTACTGGGGTTAAACAGTATTATGTTCATTTTCAAAATCTGTATTGTAGGAACAAAAACTTACAACCATCTCCATTAGTCTGGTATGTCTCATAATTATTATTATTATTTTGTTTTAGAAGTTGAGGAAAACAGTTTCATTAGCTTCTTTTTTTTTTTTTTTCCCCTTCAGTTAATGCTAACCAGATCAATGCAAAAGAAGGATCAAGGAAGCAGGAGAAATAATTTTTGTGGATCAAAGGGGATTTTCAGATGTGTATTGGAAAGAACAAAACTTATCCAAACTCTATCTTAAATGTATATAATCGCTTTTCATTAAAAAAGTAAAATAAAATAACTAAGTTGTTTACCTTTACTATCTGGATGCCCATAGAGTCATCATCAGGATTACTTCTTTCATTGAATGTGAAACGCATTGTTTTATCCCAGTCAATGGCTATACTGTGCAAGTATTGGTCAGCAAGAGTCAGCCAAACCTAGGAAGTCAGCATAATGCATTATTTCTCAGATAAAATATGAGCAGTTTTTATAAACACCATGAGATGAACCTGACCAGCTTCAGCCAGCTGCAATCTGCTGTTAAGACTTGATGTATACAGGAGAAAACTATATTTAAAAGTTTTTTGCAGAATTAAAGCAATGCCTGGCTCCCTAAAGCAGAAAGGAGCAAAATGGTATTAAGAATCCAAACCTATAAACTGTTTACAAAGTTGCAAATCCATTGACAGAAACCAAGAGCCCTTCCAAGTGGAAGCCCACCTACTGGTCATATCAGCTTTTCTAATCATAAGCAGCAAGGAGTTCTATAAAGGATAAAACAGCTGCAGGCTTTCCTCTAACTCCACCATGGATCCATCTCCTGGAAACACAAACATGAGAAATCTAATAGCGCTCCCTCTCCTGGAGGTCTCAACTTTCCAGAAGGAAGAGCTCCCAGTAGGAAGCATTGAGGACTAATCTGAAATAAATATTACTTGGATCAGTATATGTTAATGTTAAAAAAGGACTTCCTAAACTATTGGCACAACAGGGAGTTCTGAAAACAGACACTGCCCACTTTTAAAACCTGTTAATTACCAAAACATGTTATGTATGTGCACTTAAGACAAATTATAGACCTTCATTAAACATTTGAGAAGTTCATGAACCATAAATATACATGACAGATCATACAATGGCAACAAGTAACAATAAAGGATTTTTCTTTCAGTTTCCTGAAAATAAATCATGAAAGCAAGTGGGTCAAGTTTTATACCAGTTGTTAACTCCCTTAAGTGACAAAAGTAATTCAAACACTTCCCACAGATATAAACACTTAGATAATTGCATGGTGAAGGAATCTGTAGACAGCTCACAGAATCTCAGATTTTCTGCATTTAAACATGCCATCCCACGCTTTTGAAAAGCCAGCCATGTAGAGGATTAATGTTTCGTCGTCTCCCAGCAGCATTTGGCACTGCTAATTTCTTACTGATGTTGTTTGACTGGATTGTCTATCTCTGCCAGCTCTGGACAACAGACGTCACATGCCATAGCAGTAATGCAGATGTCACCCTGCCCCTTCCACTGACAGCAAGGAAGCAATCAGCATACTGCCAAAACAACAAATGTTTCCATAATCTTGGTATCAATACCACTGGAAAACCAAGGAATAGCAGTGAAAAGAACAGGCTGTACAGAGGTCTCCATCTCTGGAGCTATTCAAAAGTTGTCAGGACACGGTCCTGGGCAACCTATTCTAGGTAGTCCTTGAGGAGGTGGTTGAACTAAATGACCTCCAAAGGTCTCTGTCTACCTCAGCCATTATGTGATTCAGTGTGATTCAGTGCACCTCCAAAAAAAAAAAAAAAAGCAGCTGAAATGGCAGTTCTAGATGGCTTATTGAAGTGTGGGAGGAGAAAACTTTTCAGGGAACAAAAAGGTTATTAAGATGACATAGTTATTCACTGGTGCTGTAGATTAAAAATAGAATGGCAGTGGTGTTAGGATAACAATAACACAGTCTCAAGTTTCCTTCCCCATTTTACAATTTGGAAACATAGCAAGAAGGAAACAGGAAAGAAAATTACCTGATGCATCAAAAATATATGGAACCAGATAGGCATTTTAAAAAGCTTTAAAAATAGTCTGTTGAGTAAAACTACATTTTTAAAGCTGAGATTGAATGCTTCATTTAGTTTTTAAGAAATAAATACATACACATGTATTTGTAGGCTAGGGAAGTTCAAATTCTGCTGAAGAAAGCAATAAAACAAGTTGAGCACAATCCCACTGGGCCCTTTCCTACACCACCGAGTGCAATTTCCCCGCAATCGTGTACTCTACCATTCCATATCACTTCTGACTCTTAACTTCTCTTTTTAAGGGACCTGCCTTTACCCCATCAAATGTATCCAAGAACATTCCTTCCAGCATTTCCAGCACTAGCATCTATCAACTTCACCAAGCATGACAGCCTACACAAGAGTTGTTTTACTTCTAGTTGATCTTCAGCTACTCAGGCAGCTTTACCAATTCAGATTCTTGTGACTGACAGATTGAAACAATATCACCTGCACTGCAGTAAGTTTTCTAAGCCTCAAGCAGAAAGAATCTGACTGGTGTAAGTACCGTCTTGACCTTTTCCTCAGTCTTTCCATATGCTACATGAAGTTACCACTTAAGAAGGTAAACTTGGTAAAATCTCAGTAAAATTCACACTTAAAATTTCCAGTGTTAAAAAACATCAGTAATAGTGATGTTGTTCATCTTGTTTATCTTTCATGTGAAATTGAAACTCAAAGGTGATGTGTTGAACACTGCATACCTACCTTTCGCCGCCATTCTTTTGGAATGCCTGTCGGCAACCTGGCCACTGCTTTGAGTGCATCATGCCACTAAAAGCAAAAAAAAAAAACAACAACAAAAACAAAGAATAAAAATCCACGTAAAAATTCACCATTAACTTAATGCAAAAATGTGGCAACATCTACAATACTGCAGACACACATGTTCATTTCATTTTACTGCATGCTTTTCAGAGTTCAACTGTTTAATCAATTTACAGGGAAAATACAGATTAACTACTGAATGATATAACAACACTATAACATTATATGTCACAAGGATGTAAGAAATCCCTGAAAAAAAAAAAAAGAAGAAAGAAAGAACAAAGAAAACCTACTGCACCTTCCAAATACTAGTGGAACAGTTTTTCATGCAATAGTAAGTAATATGCTGATATGATGACAGATGCATTTTTGAACTAGGCAAGTACTTTAACCAAGATGAGTCCGGTATTCTATAAGCCCAGATGACAATTAATCAAATTACCTGCTGAAAACCATTTTGACCTAAAGATGGCTCAAGAGTAAATTTCAATTTTGTATCAACTCCTAGAAACAAAAAGGAAAAATAGTTATGATCATAATTTTCATTTAGCTCAGAAATAAAACTGGCTCAAATAAGATCACAGAACTTCAACTATCTGTGTCTGAATAATCATATTTTAACCTGTTTCTGTGATTTATTGTCTTCACAGGGGATTTAAGGCATATGTTAAAAAGCACACGGAGAAAATGTTTTTTGAATTATATGTCCTCTTCAAATTACTGTTTTAGTTCAGCACAATTCATTTCACTAAAAATGACATCGTTTGTCATTTTTACAACTATACCAGGACATTGCAATCTACCATATGTACCTTTATATCACCTATAGGAGCAGATTATGAAAGTTTTTATAAAGAATATTAGTAGATGCAACTTGAAGTACAATATTACACGAAATATTAGGATCTCAAATTTGGCCTACACTGGAGCCTGAGTATCTACCATCTACTGTGCCATGACATGAAGAGAGCAGTAACAGCTGGATTCTGCTCCGCACTGCCCAGTTCGGCTCTATCGTTTCTCGGTTCTTCCAATGCCGCTGTCCAGAGCTCCGGTGCTGAACAGAGCCGCACCGCACCGCGCCCCATCTATTGAACTTTCTTACATACAGAACGAAGCATTTGCTTTCCCTTCATAACTTAATATCACGCATCTCTCCATACTTAAATATTACATATAGCTCACGGTTTTCCTAGAATATCAATGCTAACATTTTTTACATACATATTTTAATAGTCTTAAAAAAAAATCACTAATTTGCTAGGTTTTATGTAAATAAAATCCATGCTAATTAACTCATCAGTAACAGTCAGTGCTTTGAAGGACTAAGCCTGTGAGCCTGTAAAAACCTAAACTGTAATAACATCTGCTAGTTCTGGAATATTAAATGTCTTTCAGCATTTGCATACTGACATGTGCAAACAGAGATAAGGAAATTAAAATGTGGCAATAAGCAACTTGAAAACCTTAACGCCTATACATAAAGATAAAATACAGAGAGACAAAGCTTTCTCCCTGAAGGCTGCTTTTTTCTTTTTTACAAAAAATAAAAAAAAAAATAAAAAATTAAAAAATCACACACTCACACAAAAGTATCATTTAGTATTGCATTACTGAGACCTGGGGACTGAGGCTTTGGTTTCTGTGCCTTAGATTTAAAAAACAGATTCAGCATAATACATATGTCTGAAAAATTCAAGTATTAACAGATATTCCTGGAAGCAAGTGTTTATTAGTATTCTACCCCATAAATCCATGGCGCTCAGCAGGGACTCCTAACACATAAATCTTTTCATAATAATTCAGAACAGTGTAACAATGCTAGTAACCTACTAAGATGAAATTGTATCACATTTGCTGTAGATGTGAAAAAGGGATTCTCATTCCCTTGCAATTTTGTGGTATTGGAGAAGCCTACTACACACAAAAAGACATTGTGATCAAGAACTCCTTTTGTTAAGGTAACAGCTGACATGTTATCTAACATTACCTGGAATCAAAGAAGCAATAGTCTTCCAAAATAATCATGTATTCATTTCCAACTCAACAGCCACATCTTAATCTCTTCACAGTTTTTTAAGATAAAGATCTCAGTAACAACTTATCTCTTTGTCTTGAAATCTTTTCAAAGAAAAATGCAACCAGAAACACAGGCAAGTGCCTCAAATCCATGAGTCTAGCAAATCACAGCTGACAATTAGGACAGGTGTGAAATTACTAGAAATTAGACTAACATTGTGGTAAAACTAGACTAGGCTATGGGCTAGCCCTTCTGCAGCATGACAAGGACCTCTTGGTCAGGCCATGTACTATAACTACAATATTATTTCATGGAGCCATGAAGTCTGTGGCCTCTTATTTGTTCCAAGTTGCCAGGCAGAAATATTCTCCAAATCAAACGATATGATGTTTTTGTGACAGAGAAGAGGCAAGAAGCATGGGGAGTGAGCCACAGAATATTCAGGGATGGTCCCTCACACCAGTTCATTTTAAAGAATTCGTATTTCCTAAAATCAGAAAATTATAATTTTTGTTCAATTAAAAAAAAATAAATAAATCAGCAAGTAAACAGATAGAAGAAGCTGCAATGTGAACAGTACAATCTTTTTTCCTAAAGATTTCAAGGGCAAAAGAGATTGGAAAAACAACCCAGCCAGGAGCTTCCCAGGGTACATGCAGAAATGCAGCCAGCCAGGTGGCAGCAGCACCTCAAGCCTGTTACATGCTTCTCTGCATGTGCAGTTTCTGCACTCTTCAATGAATTTGTCCCTGGACTTCAGAGCTTCCCCAAGGAGATGAACTGTTATCCTTATTTTATCTTCTCTTGGTTCCTTAAACCTTCCTATCTCCATCTTTTCCCTTCTAACAAGTTTTCCAGCCTTGCATGTACTTCTCCTTTTGCCGTCAGTCCTGTCATCCTTTTCATCCTGCCTACTCTTGCCCTAGGGAAAGGCCCAAGATGTCCAGAACTCTTCCTACAGTCTTTTCTCCCATAAACATTCATTGTATGCTACATCTTACCACTGACCACCTTTACCTCTGCATTCAGTTGCTTTCTTCCCACAAACCTAAATTCCCCAATACCTTCTTCCCTTGCCATCCTCTGCACCCATTTTCACTGGTTTTGCCCCTTTTTGCCCACCTTTTATGTCTGGGCTACATTTTTCACCATTATATAATATAAGCACATCTTTTGCAAGAAAGACTCTTGATCCCTTGAAGCTTTATGGGAATTTTTCTTACCAGATTCTTCACTCTTACCAGATTCTTGACTGAAATGCACCCTGCATGCAGCTCTTGGGGACTGTAAGCACCATAAGCACAACGTAGGCCTTCTTTTCAATCAAACCAGACAGCCTAATAGTGTCATTTGGCATACTACATATTACCTTTGCAAATGACACCTCATACCTAAAAAAAATTAACCCATGTAGGCAGGAATGTGTTGGGAACATATCTGAATTAACTAGCTCCACAAATACAAGCATATACAGAAGTATGATTGTTTGGCATCAATTAAATTACTGAAGGGTATTAGAATGCCAGAATATGGCCTGTTCTACGTCCTTGTAACCTGGTCACCAGAAACAACTACAAAAATTGTATTTTGAGAGCAATTGAAAAGAATAAAAAAACAAAAACAAAAACAAACAAATAAAAACAACTCTGCACGTACACATTTTTAAAACACCCACAAAACACACAAAAAAAACCCAGAAATCAGGTCTGTTAGCCTGTAAAATACACTACAAAACCCCATAACAAAAGGTTAAGAGAAGGAAGATTTATACTCCCACTGCATGACCAAATTGGAACATATGACTATGCAATAAGCCATGTAATAAGGAGCTAAAGAAAGCATCCAGCCAAGTATTTGGATGAAGGAATCAAATCGTTGCTTCTCAGCTCCATGAAACAAAGGGATAGAGCCAAAGTCTGAGAATTTTTCAGCAACATTAAAACAGAAAAAAATATATGAAGACGATCTGTTCTAATGCAATCTAAAGAGCCATAGCTTCAAACTCACCTAGCACATAATTGTAGATTTTTGCCTGTACTTAAAAGCAGATGTTGAAACTTCTCAAACGGAAAACAAATAAACATTTTACAAGAAAACAAATGAGGAAAAGGGCCCTGAGCAGCTTTCTGTGCAGTGGGATACCAAATCTGGGGACAAAAATGGCAACATAAACTACCACCTTATTGTTCCTTGCTGTTTCAGAAATAGCAAGATTCTTAGTGTTACCCTGTAATCTTTCTCTAAACATATATTTTTACCTGCAAAACCAGAAATAGCAGCCAGAGCTGCCATTAGAGCTCACTGGGATTTATCGAAGCATATCCAACAACTGGAGACCACATAAACTTCTCACTATAGATATACAGTCTACCTAGATACTAAGAAAACCTGAACAACATTTAACTAAGTTTTATTTTTTTTAAAGGCTCATTAGGCTCCCCATCTCCATCACTCTAGGAAAGCGTGCATCCCGAATGACGTCACTGTATTTACCCACATTGAACAGTACACTGAATTAGCCTTAGGACTACAGCATTTGTGGCTGAGCTTTTGATTGTTTCCCCACAGGAGCATAAGTAACAGAGTGCCACCATATAGATGTTGTTACCTGGAAGGCTACTGCAGGAGCAGGGGTCTATGAGGGCTACAGGTAAGAAGTCCCTTCAGTAACAGCAATGCCACAAATCTTTACCAGAATGTGTTTAGGTCCCTATTATTAACAGCTCCAGAAACGAATCTCAAACACAGTCAGCACTACAGGATTCCAAAAGCAGCCTTGCACACAAGTGCCTGACACACAATGGGAAAACGACCCCTACATACCACTGTGCATTGCTATAGGTTTTTTCCTGGTTTACATATTTTCTGTAAGCCTAAGATCAGACAACAAATAACAATGCTTTTGCTACATTTAACAGCTCGACATTATAAACCGAATCTAGATTCCCAACGCTTCACAGAAACACAACGCTCCACCATTCTGAAGACGAGCAACCACAATCTCGCCCTCACCAACGATCACCCCTTAGCGCTTCTACCGAGCGCCCGTCCCCCTGGAGCACGTCCCTACTCCCGGCCGACCACGGCTGCCCACGGGACGCCGGCGCTGATGTAAGCTGCAGAGCCGCAGCTGCGCGTCCCTCGGCTGCGAGCGCAGCCGGCAGAGCGCGGCAGACAAAGGCCGGGCGGCGGGAGGGGGCTCGGGGAGCCGGCAGCGGGCGAGCGACGCTGGGCTTCGTCACATAGGGAAGGAAAGTGCCCGAGGGCGGCGCGGGGCAGGAGGAGGAGGCGCGGGGCGAGCTTCGGCCCGCGACAGCCTCGCAGGCCCGGGCTCCGAGGTGCACCGCGAAGGCGGATCCCGAAGGCGCCCGGCCCGACCCCGCCGTCGCCGCGCCCCGCACCCCGCGCGGACCCGGGCGGCCATTTGCCGCGGTCCGGTGCCGCCGCCTCCCCGCGCCGCGCCTACCCGCGGCCCCCATCGCGTCCGGCTGCGTCCTCCCGGCCCGGCTCGGCTCGGCTCGACCGGCCGCCTGCCCGCCCCCGTCAAGCGGCTTACGGGATTACGGCCGCCGCTCCGCCGCAGTACCTGGCTCCAAGGTGCAGAGCAGGCGCGGCGCCGTGCGGGAGATGCAGCTCCGCTTCTTGAGGACGTTGCTGAGGATGGTGCCCACGCCGCCTCCCGAGCTCTGCCGCTTGAGGCATCGCCCGCCGCGCCGCAGCGAGCCCGTCAGCCGCTCCTGCCGCATGGTGCCCGCGGCTCAGCGAGCTGCCCCGGGGCTGCGGGCCGGTGGCATGGCGCGGAGGGCGGCAGCGGCTCCGCGAGCTAGCGGGGGTCTGCAGTGCGGGCAGAGGAGCGGAGTGCAGGGAGAAAGAGGGAGGACAAGGAGAGGAGAGAGGAAAAAAAAGAAGGTGGGGAAAAAAAGAGTTGCTCCCGCCCACAATCCTAGCATCAGAGCCAGAAAACCTCCTCCAGCACCACCTGGATGCAGCAGCTCCTCACAGACATAAAGGGCGGCCCCGCTCCGGCACGGAGTGCTCCGGCTCTGCCAAGGGGAGCGGCGCGGAGACACGGACTGACATCCAGCGGACAGGCGGAACGGGGCCGGGCAGGAACGCCGGGGCGCTCCCGGTCCCACGGGGCGCTGTTCAGCACGCACGCTTTTAGCATCCCCAACTAAAAACAGCCGTTTGTATGACCCCAAATGACAGCCTCACGTCCTACCAGATACACTTCAAAAAGGAAACTATTCAACAGCGTGAATAGGTGTATTTTCATTTGACTCAAAAGCATCTTAAAATGTTTTGATACTAAATTTCAAGCTCTTGGTTTGATTGACAAGCAAGGGGAAGCATTCAAAATGCTGACAGCTTTTATCACCTAAGCCAGTTGGTGCTCCTGCCGAAGGAGAGACGTACAATGGAGTTGGACTTCATGTTCCCTGTGGGTCCCTTCCAGCTGAGGTTATTCTACGAGTATGACTATGTCACGAGTCAGGCTCAAAGACCGAGCTGCCCGAAGTCTGAACCCACCTGTCCATCATTGCAGCTCTGGAACAGCCACTTGCTCCTTTTATTAAACATGTTTGCCAGCAGCAATACGGAAACTGGCAACAGATAAGCAGTAAAGCCAACTGCATAAAGGATGCACCAACGAAACAAAACAAAAAAGCTGTTTTAAAAAATCAGTTATAGCTAATCTAGAAGTTAGAGCTATATCTAGAAGCTACTGTTATTTTTGCAGAGAAGTGTGAATTTGTCCATGCCTCTAAATATCTGGTTCAGTTCGGCAGAGAACTGAAGTCACTACATTTGAGCTGCCAGCTCGCACTCTGAATAGATAATTAAGTCTGTGTGTCGGTGGTTCTTTTTTTAACAAAGGTGACACTTCCCTGCTGATGTAGATGATGCAAATCACTTTATTTCAGTGCCAGCTGGAGATGATTTAGTGGTTAAAGCATAAAATTTGAAACGAATTAATCTCGCTAGGTGTACAGATTGTACCAGTGGGACTGTAGCAGAAGTACTTAAATACAGAAATAACCACATAATCTGGTATTTTTCTCTTCTTCCTTTGGCATCATATGCAAGTAGTACCACATCCTTCTTTGATCATTCCAAGACTGGCTAACTCAACGCTACCAACCAATGGCCAAAGTCAAAGTTTCAGGACATGATTAAGGGCATCCATACTCAGTCATCTCACCAAATTGATGATAACAATATCTTACCTCCAATTGTTAAACAACTGCAAGTCAGCTCTAAGAAAGACATCAATGCTTAAATGATGAAGATAACCAGCTGCTTTGGTACAACCAAAGGAAGAGTACAGAGTCCTTGTTACTGTTGTTTCTCCTACTTGTCATCTTGTTGCTGTGTGAAAACCCAGAAACAAACAGGACAATCATTCTGTGACTCAGAATGACCACTTTCAAGGACCAGCATGCCACTAAGGACATTGCCCACATGCCAGCCAATTAATGCAACATTACTCTTAAGAAAAATGCAAAAATGAACTTTAAGAGACAAAATGAAAAAGCCAAGACATACTAATGAGTTTGATGACTCACTGGATCATCAGCTCAAATGGATTTCAGAGATATGGCTAAGCCTCCCATTATGTATATACATACATATCTAAGGACAGGAGCAGAGCTTCTAGAAAAATAGATGGCATCTTTTTTAACACTGGTCAGGCAAAACCTCTGATTTGCCAGTGGCAAGCATTCTCTGTCCCACTCCCTGGACTTGCAGACATCTAACCATGACACTGCATGTCAGCAGCTTGTATAAGTTTGCCATAGTCACCATTAAGTTGTAAATAGTCTTCAACAACATGAAAATTTCAAAGCGCAGAGACAATAAAGCTCACAGACAAATCACCAGCTTCAAGCTGGGGTAAAAGCAACTATTTAAAACCAAAGATGTCACCAGTCACCATTAATCTACTTTGCTCCACAAAGTCATAAAAGGCTGGCCACATTATCAAGTCCTTAGCTACAATTACCAACAAGCCAGATGGCGTTCAGAAATGATTAATAAATAAATTGAAGAGCCTTGGCTGGTCCAGTTACTTCACCTCTACATACTTCATGATTATCAATCTGAGTCTTTACTTTTCCCCTTTACTACTTCTCTTTTATTCGTAGTTCATTTATTCCCTCCCACACAACACAGTCACTTTCTGAAAAACTTTTCTTCTTCATTTTGTATGTCTTTGCAGTCTCATCACCACCTGCTAACCATGCCTTTATAAACCCTGAGAATATCTCATAAGAAATCCTCCATGACAAGTATAACTTGCTCAGTTCCCACAATCTGCCTTCTGGTGAATTGTCCTGTGACCACCACAAGGTTTTGACATTGAAGAACCAACTCTGCTCTATTTAACTTACTCCTCACCATTCACCATCCCACTTCCCTTCTATCTGCACTGGGATAATTAGTTCAAGATATGCAGCTAGAAAGGGAGAATAAACATCAGCAGACAGAGCAGTGACAGAATGGGGCTGCAGAGCAATCTTGCAATTAAAGAGAAGGATATATCCTTTTGCATGAAGCTTTAGCTACTCAAATCTAGAACTCTTGGAAGGCACACTTCACTGGTTCTTGTACAACGTGCACAAAGAAGACTAAACATAACCAAAAGACTAAAAGTCATAAGCCATTTTCAGCTGGGTCACTGTATTTCACGCATTTCATATCCCTCCCTTTATTTCATATGGACCTTCATACAGACCTTCCATAATTCTCATTTGCACCACATCTTTGTAAAAGGTTAAACAGTTAAAGTCTGGGGAGAAAGCTTGTTTGTTGTGCTTTGGAATACCTGTGTTAGCAAAATATTTAACTAGCAACTTTCATTTTATAGGAAAATTTTATAGAACGTCATGCCTTTAAAATGTGATTAAAATCCTTTTAGTACCTACACAAGTATTTACACAGATGTGTTTAAAAGCAGGAGCTGGTAGAACTGTACTGCATATAAACACAAGAGAAAAGGTGAGTTCTAGGAAAGTTCCAGCTTAAGCCATCAAAACAAAAGGCAGGAAGGTCTAAGAATGCCCTGCCTTGTGTATGGTGTCAAACAGAAGGTACTAGAACAGCTTCATAGCCTCTAAATAGAAGTACATTTTCCCACTAAATTAAATATTAAGCCTCAAATGTAACTTATGCTAAGACTTTTTCTCTTAACAATTTTATGCATTATTCAGTTATCACAGTTAAAAAAAGCAGTTCAAAAATTTTTACACTGTACTTCATCTCAAAACATTTTAGAAACTATGTTTAGGCAGCATCACTGCACTAGCTGCTGGTACAACGGTTATTAGATGGCATGCACATATCAATAATATAATGGAGAATATGTATCACAGGTAAAAGCTATTTTATTAACCTCATCATAGGCCAATTGCCTGCCAAGGTATTATTATTACACAGAATTCTGTAACAGTCCACAAAATGTAATCCCATTACCATTTGGCTTCAAATACTCAAATAGTAAATGAAGAAATTTGGAATCAATACCAACATACATTACGATGTGCACTCTAATTCATCATGAACTTCAAGAGAGAAAAAAACAACGCTTTCAAATTGTAGCGTCTAGGAGAAAACATGTGGAATGAAATGAGTCCACTTTTGAAGGATAACAGAATAAGACAGTTTGAGTTCTCCCAGGAAGCAAAACTATTTTAAATACACTTACTCCATTAAACCATCTTCTCCACTGGAGCACAAAATTTCTATCCTATCCAATTCTACAGGAGTTCTATTATTAAACAACCATCCTGCCAAAAAAGTATATATTTTTTTGCTTTACTGTAAAAGCCACTCTCATCTAATATAGGCTCTTGAACCAAGCTGAAGTTAATACTTAAAAAATGCCATGACAGCTTCACATTATGATGTAAAACAAGCATAACTCATCTGACAACTTGAGAAGAGGCTTTTGAACGAAGCTGAATCTCTGGCACCAAAGGGGCATGGGTGCTACAGCAGTGCTGGGTCCTTGAACATGTGCTCCTGCCAGGTGGCCCAGCACTCCTCCCACCCCAGCCTGCATGTACAGCATCACCTCCTGCATTGACAGTACTGCTCTGCAGGCTTTTTTTAGGATTTCCTACCTCAGACAGCACAGGCAAGCAGATGCTTTGATGTACCAGCTGGCTACAACTGCTGTATGGACAACCAAGAACAACAGAGCCTGCAGGACTGCTTTGCATGGCCACAGTTGCACAAGCATACAAAAAAGGAGTCTATGGGTAAAGGAGGACAGATTCATGTTACAATCACAGGAAACATGTTGTAAACACAGAAGAAAAAAAAAAAGATTTTGGACTAACAGGCAGTTCTGTTACTAAGCCAATCTCTGTTCTCATATAAGTCAACCAGGGTTATCTTCTCTGGACAAGGGACAGTGCCAGAGTCTGAACAAAAATAGAAGTTTTGCTATTGTCTTTGTGCTAGAGAAGTTCACCTTATGTACTTTCCCTAGGTTGAGCTCAGGAAAATAGTTCAGTGTGTTGACACACCATTGTCAACACAGCATTAATATTTTAAGGTTTTCCATTCATTAGTACTTGGTAGGTAAATGTGACAAAAGAGTCCAGGACCTTGTTTTGTCCTATATTAGATATCATAGGGGAAAAAAAAAAAAGAGTGAGAGCCAATCCTTGCTACAAAGGGGTATTCAGTGCAAATATAAACTACTCAATGGACAGGAAATAATAACTATCATTTTCAGAAATGGAAAATCAAGACTTAAATGATTAGCCTCAGGAAGTGTGCAGCAGAACTGAGAGACATATCCCAACATGCTCAATTCTAGCCCAGTGCTACCTCTTCCTTTAGACTGCACACACCCTTCTTGTTTTTCCCTTCAAAAACTGACAGCTTGAAGAGTAAACACTCTTTAACAGTGCCTTATTTTGAAGGAAGCCCTTAACATAGCCCACTTCTTGGAGAAATTAAGGCAAAATAGAGGGAATCTCAGGAATTCTTAGTAGAGAGCTCACCAGCAACAGGGCTTTGTCTATAGCTAAGATGTCTGAAAGAGAATATTGCCTGTATGTTGTTTAGCTGTATATACCAAGGACTGATTTAGAGAACATAATTAAGATAGCACCATTTACTATACTGTGTATTTGGAAATTAATCCACAAGACTCCTGTGGTAAGAAGCTCACAGACATATATATTCTATAGGATCCTTCAGCTTAATATAATTGGGACTTGGCCAGGAAATAACTTCAGATCCAAGATTATTAACTAGGATACTTGGTATTTTTTCTTGGTCATTCTCCTGCTTTCTCCAGTCCACACTATTCACTCTTGCCTTCCACACTACATGTGTATACTAGGGCATGAAAGGCAAAGGCAAATAGAAGGTCCCTTCAATACAGCCAGCTCTCCTTACATCACCTACCCACAAGTGTTGTAATTTACCTTTTTGGAGTGAGGGACATTTACACCAGTAAGTTTATTCACAAGTTGAATTACATTTATCACACGCTGCTTCTTGAAATTAGTATGCCTGGGAGGTATGCCAAACTTTTGCATCATCAATGAAAAGACCTCAAAAATCATCTGTCTTTAATGAAGACACCTGCAAATCAGTTGTGAAAGCAGTTTCTAGCAGAATGGGATGGAGCTGTGATGACCAGCTTCCTATGTAGGGAGGCACCACACTCATAGGCAGTCAGTCAGTGCAGGTAAGGCTGGCTGCAGGCCCCTCGCTTCCCATATTGTTCTCAAAGTAGCACAAACAGTGCTTATGCAATTGGATTATGTGTGTGAGAATGTAAAAGCCCTCAAAAGTATCACAGGCTGCTAAACCAAAAGTACGGAGACACTTGTAACCCTTTTGAACCCATCCATAGCACCTCCCTGTTTGTAAAGACGTAGTTATTTCTACAAACAGTGGAGCAGCAGAAAGACCTGGCAGCCATGCAGTACCAGGACTCACTAAGGCAAACAACAGAACTGCACATTTATGTCTCCCCTGACCCACACAAAGACCCCACTTTCTGGAGTCCTTTAGGAAACCTGTTCCCAAAACACAATCACACTGAAAGCTAGGAATTATGTTAACATTCAAATGCTATCTGTCACAAATTATTAACTCTTCTCACTATGTCACCAGCTCTCACAATCACATTATTAAAAAGGCTCATTTTCTGCAGCATCTGCAGTTTCTAGACAAAACCATTTTTGAGGATGAAAAAATTACATTTGCTGATAACACAGCAATACTGTGCACATAATGACAGCAACCCATGCCAATGGGTTAGGTACAAAGAGTGACCAAATTCATTCCAGGCCCACCAATGGGAAATGCCTGTTCCCAGAGTTTAACATGAGAGATCTGAAATAATTTCTGAAAAGCAGAAACCAAATTATGCTTTGTAAACATCATACACCACAGACCAAAGGCACCTCAAATATATTCAGAAGGAAAAAGAAAAAAAAAAAAATCTAATGTTACCAACTTGATGTGATTTGAAAACCTTTACCTTAACATAGTGTGTTGTGGCTGCACTGAAAGGACAAGGCAGAGATTTAACTCAGAATTGTCCTTATAGGAAACAAAAAGGGTTTTGCATATACAATTGCTTGATCACAGGACAGTAATAAACTAATTCCCCTTATTAGGCCAGTAATAGAGGGCAACAAACTTGCACTACTGAGTAAGCTTGACTCTGTAACTCTGCAAAGCTATTTCTACTCACCACAGCACCCATAAATTCTAATTCTGGTCTGCAGCACTGTATTAGAGTAGGTGCTGTACAATCACAGAATGACAGTCTGCCTGCTTTAAAAGAAAGCAAAAAAAGAAAACACAGTAGCATAGTACAGAGAGACAATAAGATTATATTGGTAAGCATAATGGATAGTAGCAGTAGTCAGAATATAAGAGATGCTATTGCGTTTCTGTAGGCTTCATGGTAGAAATGAGTAACAAGGGAAACACCTGAAGGGGGACAACAAGGTGGCACGAGGTCCATAAGAGGGCCAAGGGATTACATTTTGATCAACTTCAACGTGGATAAACACTTACAAGAAAACCCCAGCACAGGGGGAAATTAAGAAGATGCTTGTTGTAAAAATGTAAGTGAAGGATGAAGGCAGAAGGTGTGACATAACCTTGAACAATGAACAGGAAATGAGAAGTAAGTGACAATACAGAAGGGTAGGTTGCAAAGAGCTCTGTATGTTAAAGCAAGGAAAGCAAGATGATAACTACATCTTTGAAGACTTTAAGAAAAGCAGAAGCACATAGCACACATGGAAACACCTATGCACCAATACTAAAATGTAAACGTGTCAATCTCAAACTGAAGTCTTCAGTTAACTCTTTGTATACATCACATCTTCTAGAAGGGCTTAAGTATACTCATCAAAAAGAGTTTGGGAAGTGTTCAGTGTCCCAAATGCTTCCAACTGGTTCTTAATCAGAGAGAAGTGATAGGTAAGTCAGCAATATGGATCTTTTCATGTTATGAAATTACAAGGAAAAGGGAGGGGGAATGGTGAACAACAGCATCCAAGTTTATTTTTTCCTAATTAGGTGCAACTACATGAATTCATTCTAAAGTCAACACTGCCATTTGAGGAACACAGCGACCAGTACTGTCCTGATGAAGGACATAAAGAAATCTGTTGCGAGGCAAAGAGCAAAAGTCAATTTATTTCACTCATCTCATTTATGCACTGGTTATAACTGTAAAGCAGATCACATGCAGTTACAGTAAGCAGATATCTGCATATCATGAG